CCCTCCCCTCCAAACACTCCTTCCAGCACTCATCTTCTTCGGCAGGAGCTTGATCAGGTTCCAAGGAGCTGGGTGGGGTGAGGCAGGTGCAAAACGCTCAACTCCTCTCCACCAAACACTCCCATCCCTGGAATGCACGAGCCCTCGTGTAGTTCTTTAAAAGCTAACGTGAGCAAGGCTGCTCTTTCTTCCTAGCTAAGCTCTACCTCTAAAAGAGAAGTTCTTTCTCATAGTTTAAAGGGGTTTCTCAAGTTGTGTATCCTCCTCTAAAGCACACGTCACTTCTGGTTTCAAACACCTGTCCTCTCCAATAGGTACAGGTGAGTGATGCTGCTTTCTTAACTGCGGACTTCCGCAACTTGTGCAGCCCATGAGACGTGTATGGGAGACATTCAGTGGGAGCTTCATCTGAGCAAGGACAGAACAGCTGGCCCAAGGAGTAAATCCTATGCGGGTTCCCACATTGTTTCCCTTCTTCTGACGCCACCATCTACCAACTACTCTTTGGAGTTTTCCCAGCTTTGTGCAGTCTCCCCCTACATTCGAAATGGTTGAAATGTCTCTTCTAAGTAGGTTTAGTTACTGTCAGAAGAGCTTTCAATTAACACATGCAGATTTGGGGGTGGGGGTGGCGCCACTTCCTTTGGCTTTGGTCCTGTCCAGGACCATTCCAGGACTGCAATGTAGCCCCAGAGAGCGTTTCTAAATTAGAATATCATCTTCAGGCTGAAAGAAATTTCACTTCTCCCTCTTTGCCACCTGCTTGAAAATGTAAACACAAGGAGCTTTTCGGGGTGCCGGGGGGCTGCAATCCCATGTTTCCTTGTAGGTCACTTGCTCTAGATCTGCTTTGGGATGCCTGTGACTTTATTGCACTAAGGCAGGTGCTTGGATAATAGAATATCTCGGAAGGCAGAGAAAATCACCTTTTTTCTTCCTAAAATGAAAATGGAAGACGCCTCAGCAAAGCAGCGGTTTGAACCCCCATGTGGAGAAGCCCACCAGCTAGTGCAGCAAAGTGGATTCCAGTTTCTTGAATGAGACATTGGCACTGTCTCTCCATGTTGCCTTTTGCTATTCTGCTCCATTTCCTTCCCTCATGCCCTTTCATTAATTAGAGAGCTACACAGTTTGTATAATTGAGTTAAGCAGGAGCCTCGTGGTGTCCACGGTTTGTTATCCACCTTTCATTACTTCTGTGTTTTAATGGTGAACTTGCACATTTGTGCCACTCACATTGTTATATTCTGCCATGAACACAGACGTTAGTAAGATAAAAGCAAAGACACAGAATGGCCCAGTTTAATCCTGCCTCGCTCCTCAAAATCCCAGCCAAGTACACAAGTCTAGATTCCCAGACTTGAATTACGGAGCACCACCAAAATCAAGCAGTTCTGTCAACTGCATGAAAAGTGCAGTGAGAGGTACAGTTATGATGGAATCTGTGTAGCCTGCATGATTTTTTCAAAAATTCATCATTATTCTTGCCAAAGCTCACTGAAGTGGCCAAACTGGATCTTAAGATAACAGAGATCTTTGTTGACAGGGCTGCTCTTTGAAAGAATGCAATACTAAGCCCAAAGCTTTATGTAAACCTGAGCATGGTAAACAGGCAATATGCATGAAAGGAACAGGGTAAGAAGGGGAAAAGAATGATCTGAATAGTCTAAAACGTGGGTTATATCCAGCGTTAATCTAACCTAGCACCCATTTATTTAAATGGCTCTGCTGTGACAATTTTGGTTGGTCCCAATGTCTCTCAGTTGGGTCTTTGCAAAGTTATCATGGTTAGAGGGTAAAAGGCTGAGTAAGGAATTAATTTTTCCCCAACTGATAAAGTCATCATCTGACAGCTACTTAGTCCTACATTTTCAGATTTGTGCACTTTATGAATTAGTTATCAACTCCTCCTGCTGTCTTCAATGCAGGATTAATTAATTAGATTTGTTTGAAGACTGTCCATTAGAATCATGGTCTCTGGGCAGCAATTACCATAAAATTACCAATAACTAACATAAAAAATACAATTACAATCATAATAAATAAACAAACAAGATAAAATAGCATATCAATAATCAAGTAACATATAAAAATTAAGTTGATATATTGAAACCAGTGCAAATTAATAGAAAAATAATCCAAATTGTTAGCTTATTGACGTGTTTATTGACTCTCTCAAATAACTTTAATAGCTTACTGAGACAGGACTTCCCTTGGTGGAAGCCATCTCACTGGGGATTGCCCTTCTGTGTGCTTGCTAATTTTATCTTTAATAATACTTTCAATCAATTTGCCTGGACCAGATATTAAGCTAACCAGCCAGTAATCTCCTGGATCCCCCTGCCCTCTCAGGATGCCTTTTTGAAAACTGATGTTCCACTAGCCATTCAGAATTGTTCCCTTTCTTCAAAGGAGAGTGGTTGCTCTTTGGTTGCTCTTTTCTGCACATTTTCCACTCTACGATATCCTTTGAGTGGCAGTGGACAGAACTGCATGCAGCACTCAAAGTGTGATTGCACCACAGAGTTGCATCTTTTTCACACTTGTTGCATACTGGCTCAACTTTTTAACTGAACGTGAAGAACTGGTCAATTACCACCTACTCAGATCACAGCAATAGATTTGTGATGTTAGATTTTTGTTGTTGGTGTTTCCAATGTGCACCACTTTAAATTTATAAATGTTGAGCTGTATTTGCTGTTATATAAACCGTTCATCAGTTTGGAGAGATCCTTCGGAGCTCTTTGCTGTCTCTTCATTTTTACTGCCTTGAATAATTTGGCATGATCCAAAACCTCCAGATCATGTACAAGTGGGTTAAAAAGCAGCACTCTCAATACATTTCCTTGTGGGAAGTCCAAGTTTTACGTGTCTCCTTGTGGGAAGCTGATTTTTACATGTCTCCATTGCAAGTAGCACTCATACACGCTTACTCTCCGTTTTCTGTTCTTTAACCAGTTACAGATCCATATGTATAACAATATCCCAAATCTAAAGATAACTGGGAAATTTAGTCCAATTTTATCTCAGAGAAAAACACTGTGTTAGAATGGGTTGCATGTCACAGCATGAGAACTTTCCCTGAATACTTTTTTTCAGAGAGTTCAGCCTGTCACTGGATCTATTCCCCTGAGACCTTCCTCCAATCAAAGTTCTAGTGAGGGTAATTAACTTGGGGCTCTCCAGATGTTTTAGAAAACTCCCATATCCTACACAAACAGGATGAGCCAAACTAGCTCCTCCGTAAAGTACTCCAAAGCTGCAGTTCTAAAAACTCTGAGCTTTACTAACAAGGCTGTTAACCTGCTGTATCCAGTTCCAGTTCTGCTACAGGATTAAAACTGGCTCTCTATGCAGCAAGCTTTTCCTTTCCTGCCGTTCAATTACATAACCTCTAGGCAGCAATGTGGTAGAGTGAAATAACATAAGTTACACAAGTGAGGAGCTGTGCTTTGTTTTGGCATGGAAAAAGAAAAAATACAGCATTTTCCTTGCTCCAAAATCCCCTACAAAAGTTCTCTTAAAAAACAGAAACATAATCAGAGGTTCATGTCATTGTCTAAAGCTGTTTTAGAGTGAGGAATGATGAATGCAAAATAAAAGTCTTGCGTAGAAAAGCACAATATCCCACTGAATATAAGAATGAATATATATAGGATTGTTAGAATACTTGAGGATTTAAAATGTTTCCCTTAGATTAAGTGTCTTTTAAATCTTTTATTTTATACAGAAGCCTTCTCCCAAAGCAGGTACTCTCCAAGTGTTTAGTCTTAGAACTTTCATTTCGCCTAACCTTGCTCATGCTGCCTTGGGTCTACTGGGAATCATAAAACAGTAGAGCTGGAAGGGGCCAAGAAGGCCATCAGGTCCAACCCCTGCTGTTGCAGGTCACCAATTTACACCATCCCACTTGAAGGCCAAAACATCTGGAGGGCATCAGGTTGGAGAAGGTTGCTATAGACTATCCACTCATTCTAGAAAATCTCAGCCTCGTATCACAATGGGTGCTCCTTAGATCATCCTACTCTCAGGTCTATGGTAGCACTACTTGAAGCAGATTTCATAGTACTGTTCATCAAAGCCCTTTTATTTTAACCACCCGCCACCCATTTTATAAGTCATGTAACACTGTTTTTCAGTGCCCTTATTTTTTCCAACCAGTCTGTGGATTTATAGCATCATTAAACTAACGGTAAGCAGTATGCCCACCTCCCCATCCCATTCAAATCACTTGGGTCCAGTTTTTCAGGAGACATTTCATGAAAAGCACTTCCATCCCATCACACTTTGGATGCCAATTCCCTATGGCATCTAGTGTGAACCAACCTGGTGTCCTCCAGATGACTTGGCCTACAGTTCTCATGACCCCCTGCCAACTGTGCAGATTCTAGTTCAGGCTGAGAAAAGCTGCTGGGGAATACACCTTTTGATTTCTCATCAAAGCTATAAAACAATAACTACTTATATGCACCATAACTCTTTATATTGGTGAGCTACCCCATGGCTGGCTGAGGCAGATGGGAGTCGTTGTCTAACACATCTGCAAGACACCAGTTGGGAAGGCTGTGCTATCAAATGACAGCAGGGGACAGGTGTGTGATGATGACAGACACGAGGGAGGAGCCTGCAAAATGCCCGGGCAAAGGGATGGAGGGCATCGTTTTGGTCCCGAAAACTCCGCGGTCCTCAACTGAGTCGCCAAGAGGGGCGACCAGCTTTCCCAACCTGGCCACCGCGAGATGTCTCAGATGCCCAGCTCTCAGCATCCCTGCCCATTACCCATGTGGGCGCGGGCTGATGGGGGCTGGAGTGCAACACATCTGAGGACCCTAGGTCGGGAGGGGCTGCCGCGTTCCCCCTTGCCCCCTCGGGCTTTTGCGCTTTCGCTTCGGGGGAAGAGCCCGGTGGAGACTCCGGCTCGGCAGGTGCCCACACGGAGGTCTCCCCCCCTCCGGCCCCCGCCCGTCCGCGGGGGTCCGCTCGGCTCCGGAGCGCCTCACCAGTTCCCGGATCCGACGATGCAGACTTTCATCGGCGGCATGACGGCGGCTCCCGATCCGCGGCTCCACGGACGGTTGCAGGTGCCCGCTGCAGGTCCCGCTGCGGCGTTGCTGGGCGGCAGCTCCGCTCCTCGGCTTGGCGAGTCCCGCAGGCTGGGGAAGCGGGTCGACACTCCCCAGCGGACGAGCGCCGCCCGTCTCCGGCGGTCCAGCCCGGGGGTGGCGCGGGGAACCCCTGAAGGCCAATGAGAGAAGCGCAGCGTGCTCAGTGGGGAGCGCGCCAGGGGAGGGGGCGTGGGGGGAGGGGGTGCAGCACACGTTTAATGCTCTCATTAACTTATCTACCAGCTTCTTTCCCTTGCAAGGAGCCCGGAGTGGCTCACATGGCCCTGCTCGCCGTTTTGCCTTCCCAACAATCCTCTTAGCTAAGTTCAGCTGATAGTCCGTGACTGGCCCAAAGTCAGTTAAAAGGAGCGACTTGGCCGAGCCGGGATCAGAACCTGCGTTTCCCGAGTCCCGGGACCAGCACTGTGACCGCTGCACTACGCTGGCTCATTTCTGTTTCCACACAGTTGTGCGATCATGCCCCCGTAGCCTTAGCACGCGATATGCGGATTCAGGTGTAAGCAACAGCGGTCGACAATGCCCGCACGCGTGTGTGCGTGAGCGTGTGCGGGCGTGCGCGCACGCTTCGGATGCCCAACAAGGCAAAGTTACACTGAGGCAGCGGCAGCGAAAGGGCGCTGCAATGGAAGAGGAAAAAAGAAAAGAGGCTAGACATTCTCTCTGGGAAGGTGCTAAGGTTGTTGCTGGGTCTGCCTAGACCGGAGCAGCGGAGCTCCGCAAAGGTTGCTCCTAGTTCTCGCTTTGTACAGAGCAGCATGGGACGCGTATGGGTCCGTTCTTGCCGCCCGTCCTACCCGTGGTACAGAGGCTGTGGCAACCAGCAGAAAACAGATGGCCACATTTGCAAAGAGTATGGAAAATGAGGAGCCACTGGGCAAAGTCAAAAACCCACTTGGGCCGCTGGCTAATAGATTTTGCAGGTTTTGGAGGCTACCATAATTTGAGTCGTGGGGCATTTTGGAAACCTGAAAACTCCATTTGATCCACAGCAGCAGTAGGATAACAAGTGTTAGGTGTACATCCACCTTTTCCAATTTTCTTCCAAATCTGGGGATTACAAGTTCCATCACACCTTGCCAACATGGCAACTGGCGATGGTTGTGGCCATGGAGGGCACCAGGTTGAGGAAGTCTGCTGTACATGGGATGGGATGTCCCAGATTTGACTAGAAAGAGTTTAAATTTGGACAAAATGTCTGATTGGACACACTGTTTCTTTAATTAATATGAATTTCAAAGTTAAATGTAATCTAGGTCATGTGGCCTAATAGTTACCTGGATAACAAAATAAACAGGTCTGTTTTATGGCAAACCAAGCAAACTGTTTCTTTGTTCAGTCAAGAATTTGTGTCTACAAAAGGGTGAATGAGAGGACAGACAGATTGCCCAATGCCTGCACACAAACCCTGTTCAGGGTCCACAACAGAGCAGAATGAGGTGGCCATACGGAAGACACAGAAGACAGAGCTAATTATTCTCCATCACTCTTTCCATTCAAGTGAAAAAGGTAGGATTGTTCCAAATTATGGGAATCTGTCTATCAACAGTGACTAGATACAAGAGCTTAACCTGGCCTGGAATGTCCATCTTTGGATAGTTTCCATCTGATTGGCAGATGTATTTTGGAAAATACAACAGGGGACAGAAAACTCAATCATGCCCTCTTCATGAACATCTTATGCTCATTGGGCTCACTACTGTGGCAAACAGAAGGAAGGCTAAAAAGCCCTAGACCTTCAGTTTGAAGCAGCAATGCTATTCATGCTTCCCTATGTTCTTAAACTTAGGAAAATGTCAAGTAACCCAGCCTTCCCTAAAACAGTGACCTTCAGATGGTCTGCTTCCATTATCCCAGCAGAATCCATTGTCATGGCTGATGGGAGTTGTTGTCCAAAATATCTGGGGGGGCACCAGGCTGGGGAAAGGTAAAGCAAGGAGGTTTGTTGAGCAAGGTCACATGCTGCTGAAGTGACAAGACACATTGCCCTGGCCATTGCCCAGGCCCTGTGAGTGGAGCCCAGAGTAACTATGGACAGAGCCCTGCCCATGGTGTGTCCTGCTGGAAGAAGGGGACGATTCTGCCAATCCTCTTTCCACCCCAGAAGGCTGTTCCAGATGGTTGGGGGACACTTAGGAACAGTGCGGGCTGGTGGTTCTGAGGGCTACAGAGAAAATGGGGAATTGGTAGGGTCTGCCTATTTCTGTCTACACAGAAGTAATTGAGTTCAGTTGGGTTAGTCCCCACTGAGTTTGGAGGCTCTGTCTATCAGGGTTGCAGTTTAAGGATAGGTAGCAGTTTAAAAGGTTAAATGCCTGCACAAATAAAATGTGCCAAAGAAAAAAGAGTTGATGAGGAAATCCCGCAGATAGTGTGTCTTAGGAGAAATGAGCACCAAAGTATTAATACATTCTTGTGAAAACTTTTAAACCCTCAAACTAAGCTGGAAACACAATGAAATAAATTTAAGGTTGGGAAAGTAGAAAAGTAGGTGAAAGCAAAATGAACAAATTTGTCAAGCCCAACTAAAATTTTTGTGTTTTGGTTAGCACATTTTTAGAGTACAACGTAAAATACTTTTTTGGATCTTGCGAAAGCTCTGAGGAATCTATTTTATGACCCTAAGATTTCTGAGGAATCTTAGGATATTTCAAATACTCAGATCCACTGTTGGAGACAGATCTGCTCCTTGCTGATGGCACAGAAAGAACTGCACCAGCTGCTCTCTGAGGCTGGAAAAGCAGCCTCAGAGTGGGCAAATGGGGTCATTCTGGTGGGTGGGAGGGACTGGAGAGGAGAAGCCAGGATGAGAGTTATCCTAATGTCTCCCCAGCCACCTTCCCTACTCCTCTGAAACACTGTTGCCAGATGGGCAAGAAAGACCTACCTGGCAAAAATGTAGGTGGAAAGATGGGGAAGCAAAGATCACTCCTGCCACTCCGACCCTTCACTGGAGGACTGTAAGCCTCTATATTTGGGGACTTAAGATAATTGTAGTAGAATTGTGCAATAGGGGTAGAAAAAATGTCTATAATTTCCACATATATATTATACCAGAGCCAGTATATCCACATATATATAATATACCACAGCCAGTATGACTAGCTGGAGGGATATTTGAAAATATAGGAGGGTTTCTTGGTCTAATTATGCACAGTATTGAAGACATAACGGATTGATATCTGAATATTTGAAAGGCTGTCTACTCCCACATGGACGTGCCTTTTTATGAGTTTATCTTCTGAGGCTTCACTATGTACACCCCTACCTTCAGCAGACAGGTAGATGGAAACTGGGGACGGGGCCTTTTTGGTAGCAGCACCTCTTTTGTACACTGTTTTACCTAATACATGCATTCCTGTAAGCAACTTCCTATATTAGAATGCATTTTAATATTATTTTCACCAGTGCATACATGTTTGAATGCATTTTCTGATTGGAGAATTCCATCACAAAGTTTAAAGTAGTGCAAAATTTGAAAAAGAACTGAATTTCATTTCATTCATGCATTCAGCAATGTGATATTTCTTTCACCCTTGACTGCTGACACCCTGGGCTGTTTGGTGAAGTTTCCAAACAGTCTCAAAGAGTACGGCTGCCCAATTTGGATCACAGCTTTAGCCACTTTCCAGCTGAAGGACACTTGTGTTTTCTGGTCTTTCAGAAACTAGGTACACCATCCTTGCTTTTTCATCAGTGTTTCTGCTTCTGAGCATTCAGTGAAGAGGGTTGGCTTAATGAATCATAGGAGGTGGACTGAATGCCAAAATTAAATCTGCCTGTGGGTGGATTTTGATGCCCATTTGTTAATGCAACTAGAGTAAAATAGATAAAACAAAGACGCTGTTCATGGTTACAAGATCAGGAAAAGAACACAAAAGCTTTGTTAAAAAACCCCCTGAAAATTGAGTCCAGTCTGTCATATTGTATGATTATGTGAGCATTATCTTGTGAACCTAGGTCACTGAAACCACTGAATAAAAAGGAACCATGCCTTTTTTATGTATCAGATTTTATTTTACCATTAACGTACCTTAAGGTGCAGTCCATTGATGCATGGCTGTGGAATACTGAGATTTGGTGGAACTTTTTTTGTCCAAACATGCATAGGATTATACCTCAATTTACGGCACTAGATTATTTAAACTCCTTAGTAAAGGAATCCCTATTCTGTCTTCAGTAACAGCCAGAATGTAAGATTTAAGAGGAAAGGCTGGCCTAGATAATGAGAAATCTTCAGTGCTACCGAGTCTTAGTTCTTCTAGGAGCAGGTGTGCTCATGAACTGGGACAGAAAATTCTATGGAGTGAAAAAAGAAGCCCCTTCTCACAGTGAAGTGGAACCCACACAAGATCCGGGATCAGCTTCCCTTCAGCTCAGAACCCCTGCAGTCCTGCTCTGCAGGGCGTGAAAGTCCAAGCCAGTTCTCCACAGCTACATGGCTGACATTCATGAAGGGCCGGCAGCTTCAGTGCGTCTTTCTCCTCCACTGCAGCTTTTCCCTTCAGCTGTATAGGAGCAATCCATGGTGCTCCATAGTGGTGAACCTGTTCTGGACATGAAGTTCAGCATCATGGATAAAGCACCCTTAGAGCTCCTATAAAGCACCCTTAAAGATCAAAAGAAAGGCTGTAATGGATGAGGATGCCACACCCCAACACAGGAATCACCAGTCTCTGCAAAAGTGCATTCACTGGGTGAAGCTGCCTTCTTGAAGCTAATAATATTTGCCCTTAATCTACATCGATTAGCTAGGAGCATGGGAAACTCAAGTCTGGGTGTGCCTTGTGTTTCTAGGGGCATTCACTGAATTCCACTTAATGCTAGTTAGTTACCACTTGTGCAAGGTGCTAAAGATTGGCAAAATATTGGTCAAAAGGTAGTTCTTCCCCCATCCCCCCCCTCCTTTACATGCCTAGTGGGAACTGGAACTCCTATATTAAGTGTGGCAAGTATAAAAACAAGAAGCAGGTCTAGTTATTGTGGATTAATGGATGAACATAACATGAACACACAAAACACTTCTG